AATAAATTTATTGTATACAAAGTTCCTTTTAATTTAACTGAACCATAAAAAAATATTTTTCGTAGGTTCACATAACCCACATTTTCCTCAGTACCTTTTTTGCGTAGAATCAAAAATTTTTACGCAAAAAATAATTAAACTTTATGACTCACTCGGAAGGCTTAGGATATTAAGAGCCTTATCCTCTTAAGAGTTTGCCAATTTTTTAAATCCAGACATTAGTAATGGATCATTTTACACAAAGCGCTCGATACATCTCCGTTTAAACCAGACTGTTTTATTTAATTTATACTTCTTTATACTTTAATGTTAGAGGTCTCATGATTAAGGTCTAGTATACCCGTTTTCTGTATTCTCTTGTTTGTTTCACATATATAGGGTGAATAAATAGCCAAGTTTTTTTCTGAGTTATAAAATTTAAACTGTTCGCCATTTTGCGCATGCGCAGACGTGTCTCTGCAGTGCGATCTAAAATGGACTGATGGGAATTTTCCTTGAGCATGCGCGAAAGCATGATAACCACGCTCCCATAAAAGGTGCACGCAATTTGCATGCAAAACAAATTTGTAACTGTTGTGCTGCAAACCAAATCACCACAAATATTGGTAAAAATTAAAAAAAGAAGTAAAATTAAATTTGTTCAAAATAGCATCTGACGAAAACCGTGGAAAAACGTATGGGCATGCGTTAACATTACTGAAATCTGTATTGCGAACTCGTGATGTCAAGTGTTCCGAATGTTGTCAAAAACTCAAAATGGAAGCGACTTCGATGTTTTGCCTTTTCTATGGAAATGCAAGATATTTTTCGAAAGTTCATATGATCAACATTTTTGTCACTAACTTTTTTTTCGTAGTATGTATCATTTTTGCGTTGACTATATTTAAGGTCAATGATTTACTCTACAATTTAATCGTGTGTAATTGCTTAACTATTCCATAGTTTTTTAACTTTTCTGCTTTAAGTTCAGTATTCGACAATTTTGCAAGAAATGTTGACACGCCTCCCGGACTTAAACGGTAATTTTTAATTTAAATTCTGTTTCATTTTAGATTTTAAATGTTAAAATCTTTTTATTCACGTCTAAACTACCCGTCTAGTGTATTTTTTTGTTTGTTTCAATTACATTAATCATTATATAAATAGCCATGTTTTTGTTTACAATTTGGCATTTAAATTCCTCGCCATCTTTTTTGTGCCCCACGCATGCGCAGACGTTTTCCCGCGGTGCTTATCTGACGCGGTTCAACACAAGGTATATTTCTAACAGAAAAGACCAGCATTTCTCAAATTTTTACAAAGCCAACACTTTTTCTTGCGGTTTGAAGCCTGCAAAAGATTTAGTAGCCCAACCTATAACGTGACGAAATTGTGTTTCCAAAATCAAACAAGCATCGTAAATCCAGACCGCTCTTCATCGCAAAATATACGGAAATAGTTTCGTTGTTTCGAGGCAACCTCTTCCGCGCAGATGCTATAGCCTTGCACGTCAAGCAGCTGCATGAAATCTGATTCTAGAGTGTGCACAACTAATAAATTATATTTTCAATTAAACTTTAATTCCATCTAGGAGCAGGATGTACGGCTACAGCTCCACAAGCGATCGGTGTGGGAATGAAGGTTGCTGGACTAGGTCTTGGTAGCGTGCATGGTGTTGTGTCTGGTGATAATTTTGATGACGCATATCAAGACGTCAGTGTTTATGTCCGTTCAAAACCTGACCCATGACCTCAATAAAGGTCATCGCTATCACATATATAACAATCGATGGCGTATATAATAAACAAATAATCGATGACGTATATATTAATCAATAACGAAAATAATCACCAATGATCAATCGATGACGCGCATAATGATCGATAATTGTAGTCGAACACGTTGCTAATTAATCACATATAGAAAATTGAACGTAATTTCACACTTCTTGAATAAAAATAAACACTTTTTTAATACGTTTCGAAAATCAGTCAGTGAGAGAATGAAAGTGTAGCGGGTCAATGAAAAATTGCTAAATGTTCGCAATTATTGCCAATTTCAGAAGTCAACTTGAGTTTTTGATTATATTTTGCTATATTTGCAATTTTGTTTGTCATTCCTGACCTTTGGAAATAAACTGAAAAGATTGGAACGTCCAGGTGAGTATCAGCTTAGAAGTCTACGACAACTACATTAGCGATTTGTAACACTTTATACTAATACAACTTTAGATCAACAAATTACCCAGCATGTCTTGTTTCCAGACGATATATAAAATGTTTACATGAAGCTATATAGTATTCCAACGGCGTTTACAGGCGCAGAGAGATCGAGAGTGATAGGATCAGGGTACTTATATAGTTTTTGAAATTTAAATACCGGGTGGCCCAAAAAAAAGTACTCCTGTTTGATTCGTAATAACTTCTAAACAAGTAAAGTTTTTAAAGAGAAATAACTTGCATTAAATAGAGGAAGGACTGACTTAGATTTTGATATATTACAGTTGTATTTAACTTAAAAATTCACGGATATATTAATGTTAAAAATGGGGAGCATATTTTGGAATGTGTCTAAAATTAGCGAAAATCGGTATATCAAATATTAACTCCAGCGTTTGTTTGCTTAATGACATATTAGGCTAACTTGTATTTCAGCGAATTATCGTTAAGGTTTGTAAGGGATATGGCGTAGATTTAGACATCTTACATGTAAGTCTTAGCTCATTGTTTCCTGAAATATGAACGTTCGAAATTATGCAAGTATTTAATATTAGGTCTTTGCAAACTTAAATGTACATGAAAGACTGACCATGGAAGGCAGGCGCTTAAATTTTTCGTATTCTTAAATAGCCTAATTTTTTTATGTTTTTAATGGGTTCAAACAGACTGAGTAGATTATTTCTCGGTTAGAGCAGGATGAATATTCTTTATTGAAGGAAATAATATTGCTTTTTGCAAATACACATCACCGTATCAACGCTACTATTTTGTTACGTTTTGTTCCAAAAATGTTGCATGTCTCTGGGGAGTTGCTTAATTGTTATGTCTTATGGAGTTGTATGGTTTGATTGTGTTTCATATAATTCTCAGTTTACTCCATGAACTTGCCAAGATTAAGAAACGGCAAAAGAGTTTGGGTGTTCTTAACAAGATTTCAGAACGTTGCAGAAGTTAGAAGAGCTTCACAATTCCGTTGTGACAGCATGCCCTAATTCAGAACTACGAACGATCCAATGACGATCCTTCGCGATGCAGTGGTCTCATGAAATAAGGAAACGTATTCGTGCTAGGAACACACGCGAATTTCGGACGAATGAATCTTGCTTGTATTTTGTAGATATAATAATACTTTGTTTCATAATAAACAATTTGTCAAGTGTCATTTATTTACTGGTAATAGTGCATGTTTCAGTCGGGCAAATCTTGATTAATATTTGATACGCCGATTTTTGCATATTTCAGACACATCCAGAAATATCCTCCTGAATTTAAAGATTAATATCTCCGTGAATTTTTAAGTGAAATACAACTGTAATATATCAAAGTCTAAGTTAGTCCTTCCTCTATTTGATGCAAGTTATTTCTCTTTAAAAGCTATACTTGTTTAGATGTTATTACGAATCCAACAGGAGTACTTTTTTTTGGGCCACCCGGTATTACAATAGCTTCTACACCAAACTCATTTACATCATTTAACTCAAATCTCATCCAGCGGATCAGAATTACGCCATGTTTTCTTGATCCAGTAACCCCTCTCCCCCGAACGTATCGTCGATATTTGAATTTGATACGCGAGTGGTCCGGGCATAATTTAAATTGACGTGAACTATACTAAACATCGATTTTTTATTTAACAATTTGTAATCGGCGAAATATCAGCTCACGTTTCGCAGTGCCAATAATAGATAGCTTAAGATCTACGACGTCGACGCCATCTAGGACGTCAGTGCTAAGCAGAGGATGACATCCTAGTCCCAGTCCTCTGCATAGCCCTGACGTCCTAGCTGACGTCAACGTCGTAGATCCTAAGCTGTCTAATATGATTTATTACAGTTTGAAGGTTTCCTTATATTTTTCAGGCGCTTGTATCCCTATCAATCCGCAACGTAACGAGCTACACAGGCCAAGATTAAAGCAACCATTACGACGAAGAGGGAGCTGCTGCCCCCAATAATTTTTAAGTCGATCAGATTCTACTTAAAAAGCGGAGTTAATAATAAAAGGGAGCCGCTAAGCGTATTAAAATAGTCGAAAAAGGACAAAATGTACAGTGACGTTGGCAAAATGTAATAAATGATGCGTCGACCCCCACCGTGTGGTGGGAGGGTATGACACCCCCACCCCAGTCTCTATCTCGTCGGGTATATTCATACAATTTCGTCGGGCAAATTTTGAAAATATTTGAGTGTTTCGAATTGAAAAGTAATAGTTGCTGGGTAAATTTTGATAAATTTACGAAAATATTACTGAAAAAGTTTACAAATTACGGCAAATTATTTCGAAAGTTACTGAAAAATGGTATGTCCGGAATATCCCCCTCCCCCGCTCGCCATCAATTTTGGGAAAAGAAATATTAACGAATGAAATCGGCAACACAAGCTCACACCACAGCCGTAATCATACCGAGGTCTCATCCCTGCCCCTCAGTTTGCAATTACCCAAACATAGAACGATTAAATTATTAAAAACATCAGGTTTGTCTTCGACAAAATCGTGCTTATGCCTTTCACACTTTGTTTCACGGTTGACAGCCACTAATTCATAAAACTGCAGGTTTATTTCCAGTTCAAATCTAAGACATGTCTTGAACTTTTGTAAACTTACTGGGGGATCTGCTCGGCATAAAAAAGTGTCGCCAAAAACATGGCGGATTTCGGTCTTTGCAGACGCCAGAATGACGCCATAACAGGTATATACGTGGGAAAATTGTCCGAGCATGCGCGAAAACTGCTCGAGTTTTTAGCGGGAGAGGAAGATATGCATGCTTCCACTTGCTTGATTTAAAAGCATAAACAACATGAACGAAGCCTTCGAAAGACAATTTTGCAGCGGCGGTATAGGCCCAAAAATCACCACAAAAATTGGATTAACTGGCAAAAAATGTTGCTGTAATACTTCGATTTCCGCTATTGCCACACGTTTTAGAATGAAATTATTAATATCGATTATTTGAGTGCAAAACAAAATATTTCAGAGTAAAATATTTCCTTTCAAAATGTCGTCTGATACTTCAATAACAAGTGAAATTCAAACATAATGTGACGGTACGTGTACATGTATAAAGAATAATACCGATCATGTCGGGATATGGTTTGTGCGTATAAAATTAAAGAAGGACGTGCATGAGATGTGGATTACCAGAAAATAATCTATTGGATTCTCAACGAAAACACATAGTGATTTTGCACGGCACTTGGTAAATACTACATATTTGTTATTAATGCAAGTAATTTCTTTATATTTTAAAACGATTCGTTATCTACGTCCCATATGATCACATCTTTTCTATATAACACTTTGGATCGACCCTTGCCATATATAAACATAAACAAAAAGCTCGCATAGCATTACCGTGCCACTCATTCTTAAATATTGATGTATTGTTTGCTTTTTAATTGCTTTATATAAAGAATACTAATGAGATGGCATCTTTTGTAGTCGTATTTTAAGCGATTCAAAACACTAGTTGTCGTGTTTTATCAGATATAAAGATTCCACTAACACCTAATGCATTTCAAATACTTGATGTGGAAGAATCAAGTTCTGACAATGACCAAAATTCCAAATTAAAGAAGCCAACCCCCCAAGGGGATCAGTTAAGGACTCGTTGTAGAAAGAGTCCAAAACCTGAAGGCAAGGAATTGAGAGAGTACCCCGGCAACAATGTGGTTACCATGAAGAAATCCTCCACGAAGCAGAGCCAGGAGAAAGCAGTTTTGGTGATAGGGGACTCTATGGCAAAGCATATTGACGGTAACAAGATTGGCAGAGCTGCACGTGGCAAAGCAATTTCACATTCCTACAGTGGTGCCACTGTGAACCAGCTTGCGATGTTTGATGAGAACCACGCAGAGGAAGAGCAGTACAGCACCATTATCCTTCATGTTGGGACAAATGACTTGGTACGTGAAGAACCAAAGAAGGTTGCTGCAGACATGGAAAATCTCATCAAAAAAGCAAAGGCGCACACCAACAAATTAACAGAATCTGGTGTTATCAAGCGTTATGATGGCAAGGTAAACAATCATAAAATTGATCAATATTTAACAATTATTCGCCGAAGGCGAGGTGGATATCGCTGAATATCGCGGGTTTTAAAGCCACTATAAAATCGATATTTAAAACAAACTTACCTTCGTCGGCTCCCTTCTTTTAGCTGATTCTTTCGCCCTTTCTTTCTTGAAATTTACAAAATCTTGCAGAAATACGAGCAAAAATGAAATATATTTGCAAGAAATTTATCAATCATCAAATCAAGAAATGTTTGCTATTTCGCTGTCGTCATGCAGTCGTTATAATGCAAACTTTAAATTGAACCAATCAGTGTCCGTTATTCATGACAATCCGCCATATTTTTGAGATCAGTGAGAATGACCACCCATCGTTGGTGACCGACGCCCGCGATCATTGATGAACTTTAGACTTCGCTAATGCTTTTGTTTCCCCGGGTGTAAATAGCAGGGGGGAATTAGTACACTCGCACGGCGCTTCGCGCCGCCGGCTCGGGGATTAAAGCTGGATTCTTTCACCGTAATGTCATGCCAAAAGGTGTCTTTTCCATTTGTTAAAATTAATTTAAAATTTGTTCTGAGAAAACAGTCAAACTTCAGACCAAACTTCTACGCTGTTGCTTATTTAGTAGTTTAATTAACTGCCCATCACTTTTAAAACAGAAAGAAGATTAAGACAACGTATTCGGGTGAGTTATCCATGGAATAAATAGT